GTGAATGAGGAGAGAATGCAGGGGACTGAGGCCACCTCAGAAAACTACAGTGTGAGAAGTTACAAAATGTCCAGAGCCACCAAGATCATGTTACATTTTTTTCCCCTGCTTTGGGTACTGGGGATTCAATCCAAGGGTGTTCTATCACTGAACAACACCCCCAGTTCTGTTTTTATTTTTTTATTTTGAGACATGGTCTCACTAAATTACTGAGGATATCACTAAATTGCTGAGTCTGGCCTTGAACTTCTGATCCTCCCAAGTTGCTGGAATTACAGGCATGTGCCACCATGCCCGACCCAAGATCATTCATAATCTAGGTCACAACAGTGAACACAAGGATTGAAAATGCATTTGGTAGCACTATGACAATTTCATTGTAAAAGTATGTCTAGGTTCTTTAGGGCTTTCCCTCATCAACCGTTCCTTTGATCATAGATTTTTCATTAAATTGTGAAAAAAAAACAAAACAAAACAGAACATAGACAAAATAAAAAGACACAACTAACCTGTGGGTGATAGTTAGTAGACCCAATTTCCTTAATGCAGTCATTTAAATTTCCCCTCCAAATTATAGGATTTCATAAATTTACAATATATAGAACTGTCAGATGTTTTTACTATCCATTCATTTATGTTAATGAGGAATTAACATTTCAATACTGTAACTTAATTTTTGATTTCTAAAAGTATGTGATGTTTGTACTATATAACATCAATATCACTTGTAATGGAAGTTCTTTTTCATTTCAGATGCTTTAGCGTTTATATATTGAACATGAGAATGGTATGCTTAATTCCAGGATCGTGATTTGGTTATCATTTCTTTGATCCATTTTGTATTTGGTGGGGAAAGATTTACTGGGAAATGTGACTGAAGTAATCGTACAATTTTGACTAGATGGTGACTTGTAAAATATCATTAGACTTCATTTATCCATGAATCCTCTTATTTATTATTAGAGTGACTTAAGATTTGACCATTATTTGTGTAATAATAAGATTATCTAAATAAACATGAAATGAATATGTAAAAATGTTTTGATAATGTCACAAATCAATTAATATACTTAACATCAATTACAAAAAATAAGGAAAGTCGTGATTATCTTAGTAGATTCAGACAAAACAGTTGTTAAAATCTAGTACCTGTTCATAATAAAAGTTCTTAACTACCAGAAATAGGGGCCTCCTAAATATGATAAAAGGTATTTATAGAAATCATACAATAGAAGCTTACATAGTATGTAGAATTATTATATAGTAAATTTAACTTTTTGAGCAACTGTCATACTGTTTTCTAATAGTGCAGTGTTTCAGTTTCTCAATGTTCTCACCAACGCTTTCTGTGTGAGGTACCACTTGATTTTTTTTTTTTTTTTTTGGTACCAGGGATTGAACGCAGGAGCACTTAACCACTGAGCCACATCCTCAGCCCTTATTTAGACAGGGTTGCACTAAGTTGCCTAGGGCCTCCTTAAATTGCAGGGCTGGCTTTGAACTTGTGATCCTCTGCCTCAGCCTCTTGAGCTGCTGGGATTACAGTTGTGTGCCACCACACCTGGCCTCATTTGGATTTTGACTTAGTTGTAGAAGCAACTTAATGGAGAAACAATAGTATTTTTATTAAATTGTGCTGAAACTATTAGACATCCCTGTGGGTTTTTTTTTTTTTTTTAAACCTTAACCCATACCTTACATTTTATACAAAACTTAACTCAAAATGGATCGTTGACTTAAATGCAAAACATAAAAAACATTACAACTTTTAGAAGAAAACCGGTGAAACTATTCGTGACCTGAGTTAGGCAGAGAGTTCTTACCTATGACACCAAAAGCATGGCTCATATGAGAAAAAAATCGATAAACTGGACTTCATTGAAATTAAAACTTGCTCTGCCAAAAGTGCTATCACAATAATGAAAAGACAAGCCACAGGTTGGGAGAAAATATTGTAAATCACACTTATTAAGATGTGTATCTAGAAAATAGAAAGCACTCTTAAAACGTAGCAAGGAATAAGCAACCAATCTTGAGCTAAGGATTTGAAGCCACTTTCACCAAAGAAGATATACATTTTAAGGGTGTCTTGCTGTGTTTTATTTTATATTCCCCTATAAACTAATGGAAATAATGCCCATTAGTTTTTAGGGGAATATAAAATAAAACCACAGTGAGATGGTTTTACAATGACAAAACAAACAAAAATTCTGATGATACCAAGTATTGGTGAGGATGCCATCAGAGTGTTGGAATTTTAATACATTACTGATGAGAATGCAGAATGGTATAGCTACTTTGTAAGACATTGGAATAGTTTCTTTTAAAGGTAAATATATAATTATCTGCACATATATTTAAATGAAAATTTGTGTTCTTACGAAAACCTATACTCAAGTGTATATGCAGCTTCAACTATAATCACTAAAAGCTGAACAACCCAATTGTTCTACAGCAGGAGAATAAATATATAAATGATGCTGCATCTCTGTAATGTCATATTACTCAGCAATAAAAAGATTTATGCAACAAAATGGATAAATCCTTGTTTTTAGTAATGGGGATCAAGCTGAGGGGCACTTTATCCTGGCGGTGCATCCCTAGCCCTTTTTATTTTTATTTTGAGGCAGGATCTTACTAAATTGTTGAGGCTGGCCTTGAACTTGGAATCCTCCTGCCTCGGAATTCTGAGTTGCTGGGATTATAGGTGTTTGCCACTGTGCCCAGCAACATGGATTAGGTTAAGTGAAAGAAGCCACTCTCAAAAGACTGTGTATCCTGTATGATTCTATTTGTCATGTTCTAGAAAGGCAAAACTGTAGGAATAAAAAACAGATTAGTGACCAGGTGAGGTGGTGCAAGCCTGTAATCCCAGTGACTCTGAGGCTGCGAAGGATTGCGGATTCGAGACTAGCCTCAGCAGTTTAGTGAGATCCTGACTCAAAATAAATTAAAACAAACGGGGCGGGGTGGGGGGGAGGATGTAGCTCCCTGATGATGTATCCTTGTGTTCAGTCTCCCGTATCACAAAAACAAAAAACAGATTGGTGGTTGCCAGAGTTTGAGGGCAGGGAGGAGGTGTTGATTACAGAAGAGCTGCATAAGGGATTTTTTTGGACTGATGGAAGTTTTTTGTACTTTGTGTTGATGGTTACATTGTTCTATGCATTTGATCAAAACGCATAGAACCATACACCAAAAAGTGTGCATTTTATTTTATGTAAATTAAAAATAATAAGTTTAGTGAGATTATTGGATACTAGGCCAGTAAAACAAAGTATGTATTTCTGCATAACAGTAATACTTAGAAAATGAAATTTTTTGAAATATAATATTTATCATAGCATCAAAAAATATTCAGTGCTTAGGAATGAATTTAATGAAAGATGTTTGAAACCTTTATACAGGTTTATTTTGGTATTCATATAGCAATGTAAATAGCAAGGTAGCCAAAGTAATATTAATGAAGGACAGAGTTGCAGAATTCACAGTACCAGATAAGCAGTATGGAATAAATGAGGAATAGAATTGTGTCCTGAAACAGACATATGTGTGGACATACATAGATACTTAATTTATGAATAAAATGTTACTGTACAGCAGTATGAAAGGAAAGATGATTCAGTAAATGATCCTGGGTCAATTGCATATCCATATGGAAAAGTAAAACTAATTTTGACTCCTCCCTTACATCATACATAAAAATAAATTCTAGGTCTGTTGTTAGATCTAAATGTGAAAGATTTTTAAAAGCTTCTAGAGCTGCTTAACCATATTATTCATAAAAAACAAAATACTACAACACTGACTACTTCAGATTTTCATAAAACAAGGACATTCTACCCATAATCTGGTTATCAATACCAGTAAAGCTAACACTGATTTAATAGTTCTGTGTAGATCACCATTGAATTCCAGTGAATTATGACTACATACTGACCAAAATAGCTAAAAATTAAAAATAAACAAATTGAGTGTGGTGGTGCATACCTGTAATCCTAGTTACTGATGAGGCCAGGGTGGGAGGACTTAAGGTCATGAGTTTGAGATGATCATGAGCAACATAGTGAGAACCCTGTTTCAAAAAAACCAAGCCAAACAAACAAAAAGTTCAAAAACTTGAAAATACTAAGTGTCAGCAAAAATGTAGAGCAACTGATTTTTCCTGCTTATGCCTTGAGGGAGATGCTGCTGAGTAGAAATAACATCAGTGTAATCTTACCAGAGTTGTAAGGCCTGGAAGTCTCTTCTGTGCCTTGTGTTTGTTATTTGTTTGGGGGGAGGGGACTATGTGTACCGGGGCTATGAGGAAGGATGAACTATCTTCCCTATTGTTTCCTTCTGTTAAGTCATTTCTGCAGGGAAAACCAGCAGTCCGCTGATTCCTGAAGATGGATTGTGCCTTGTGAAGATAAGTGGCTCCTGGCAGGAAGCAGCCAGCCTTTAGGGATCATCCTCTTCAATGAGTAGAAATTTGCTGGCAGTGAGGTTCCCTTCCCACTTCTTCCAAACTTCCCTTGGCCAGAGGTTATTTGTGAGTACAAAGAGACTGTGTAGCACCCTAAGGAGTTGAAGTAGGAGACATCCAGAGTAAATATATGTAGTTCAGGTAGATTTATCACTACCTCCTTGACTTCCGGACAGTGTCTCTAGAAATTGTTTCTTTCCCACTCTTGCAGTACTATCACGGGAATCTTGCAGTTATCTATGTACAAATCTTATTTCTTTTATGAAATGCCCACCAAATTTAGCGGACCAAAAAGCCTATACTATACAGATGCTTGAGAACAGTTGTATAAATGAACCACAATTAGATGTGCTGAATGTACATTTTTAAAAAATATATATATTTTTTAGTTGTATACAATACCTTTATTTTGTTTGTTTATGTGGTGCTGAGGATCAAACCCAGGGCCTCGCACGTGCTAGGTGAGCACTCTACTGCTGAGCCACAACCCCAGCCTGAATGTACATTTTTTAGCCTAGTGTTTCTTCTCTTGGATATCAGTAAAATTTTATGAATAAAAACTGACTCCATTTGAATAAACCCCTCTTTAAAAAACTATTAGCCCAAACTTGGGAAAGGTAGGGAGTCTTTATTTGATGTGATATAGATTGACTGGAGGCCCCAGTTCTGGTTTCCATCATCATCTTATTTAACATTTACAGAATGGGGGCTGGGGATGTGGCTCAAGCGGTAGCGCGCTCGCCTGGCATGCGTGCGGCCCGGGTTCGATCCTCAGCACCACATACAAACAAAGATGTTGTGTCATACAAAGATGTTGTGTCTGCCGATAACTAAAAAAATAAATAAATAAATAGTAAAAAAAAAAAAAATTACAGAATGGGACTAGAGTGAGGAATTTTGAAGGATCATATGCCCTTGTAATGGTGATTAGCTTTTTTTTTAATATTTATTTTTTAGTTTTTTTTAAGTGGACACAATATCTTTATTTTTATATGGTGCTGAGGATTGAACCCAGTGCCTCATGCATGCCAGGAGAGCGCACTACCACTTGAACCACATCCCCAACCTGATTAGCTTTTAATAAAGGGAAATTCCTGGGATGAAGCTATTTATTTAACTTGCATACACTGGTAGATCTGAGTTCTATCTTGTTTCCTCTCAACCTTTAAAAGTCTTCTTGTTACACTTACAAAAGTGTGATTCACCTTATATCTGCATCTAAACAGTGGTGTAAAGAACATTTGAAAATTAGATTTTGTCAATCATGAACTATTTTATTAAGCCATTAGAATATGGCCCAGCATATTCTTCTGGTTTTGTTGCATATCATAAGTGAATTGTTTCACTGCTTTATTATTATTGAGTTATAGGGGCTATAACAATGGAGAACTCATCTCTTACCTAAAAAATCTACTTAGAACTCTTACTTCCAGCACATATTATAAAACAAGAACCTAAAGTAATAAGTCAGATGAATCACAGTATTGTGTGACCAAATTGCTTCTCCCACCTGTTTGTGTGAAAAATACTAATGCTTGGTTCCCACTCTTTAGAGATTCTGATTTATAAGTTTGAGGTACATTGGAATATTTAAGAGCTACCCAGGTGAAACCAAGTTTCAAAATTACTGATTAGTTAATAATTAGTTATTAATCCTCTCCTGAGTTTTAGCAGATGTTCAATTTATAAAATGGTATTCTTTTACATACTTTAATTACCTTCTTGTATTCTTTTTGTGACCGAATGAAGTAGACAAGCTTTTGCATCCAGGGTTCCTTCTCCTTTACTAGTGATCTGTGATGGCTGTTGCCTCACTCTTAGATTCTCTACTTCACATCTGGCTTTCTTCCTGTAACTTTGCCAAGGCTGGCATTTTGGTGAAGTCAGCCTTCTTCATATCCACATGCATCCAATGTTTAAATGGGCACATTAGTTTTCATCTTTGAAATCCATTGCTTTCCATGTTTTTCAGGAAACCGCTTAAAATTTGCAAAATGTTTGATAAACCCTATAGGGTTGTAGAAACACTATTCTCTAGAAGTTCTCATCTCTCTTCCACCACTGATAAATGGTTAAATACTTAACATTTTGTAAAAGGGACAATATTAATTTATCAAATGACACGTAGTAGACTAACTGGAAGTTCTTCAGCTATGAGATTTTGATTATCTCTGACTTCTATTCCAGCTTTTGTACCTTTATGTCCCCCAGTGAGAGACTGAAATCAGGTTTTGTCAACTGAATAAATATGAACATTGAGAGAAGGGCCAAAGCTGTCTTTGGGATAATATTTTTCGTATTGCCTGATCCTGTGAGCTCCTGGGATATTTTTTTAAAACGTAAACTTGCAATTTCTATTCTAGACCCAAGAATCAGTCTTCAGAGGCGGCCTACATGGACATTTTCATCAAGCTCCTATGTGATTCTTGTGATCAGACAAAAACAGGAAATTGTTGTATATTAAATTGAGCATAGTTGATAATCAATAAATGAACACACATCTGTTTCCCTAACCCATGTTTTCTTCCTGGAATCCTACAAATTAGGTAAGGTGCACAACCCCAGAATTAAAACAACCACCACTGTTTGTAAGGGAAAAAGCCAAGTGTTTCTTTTATTGAATATAGAGGGCCTTTGGATCTCTTGTTACTTAGCATTTTGTGGTACTTAAGTTTGCTGATAGTAAATGCCCATATGTTTCTTTTAATCCTACTTGAGAATATGTTCAGTGAGGGACTCAACAGGGGAGCTTTGTGAGCACTATTCTTAGGGTCTTTCCATGGACCGTATTTTTGATAAGAAGGTGAAATTAGATGTTTTAGTGTTTAAGCTATTGAGCTTCATAATGGACTATCTTACGGTCTGCTTTATGTTAAGTTTCACTTGTGGCAATCTTATTGTATTTGTAATGATTTTGTTTCTACTTTTTCATGTGGAAAAGGAACATTGCTCTGTACCGAACTATATTGATATATATTGCTTTTTATGGAATACATATGAATGAATACCTTGTACCTCATAGCATGCTTATCATAGGGTTTTGTAATTATATTTAAAATTTTTCTTTAGTATTTTTCATGTTAATGTTCATAAGAGGATGAATCCCATGATACTATATTAAAACTCATATTGGTTAATTACTTATGCAAATAATTTTTATTAGTTAATTCAGAGAATAGGCCCTAGTACATCAATTTCCACATCTTCCTCAGAACAGCATGAGCATGACATGAATTATGACTGATTAAAGAATTTGGGAATTAGGAGTATAGCTCTGTTAGAGCATGTGCTTAGCACATCTGAGGCTTGGGTTCAATCCCCACACCACATATCATTATTGTTTGGATACTAGGTGTCCCCCCAAAGTTCCTGTGATAATGCAGGAATATTCAGGAGGTAGAATGATTGCAAGAATATTCAGGAGGTAATCAGCTTATGAAACCTAATCCATTCATCCTAATTTGAAAGGACTAACTGGATGGTAACTATAGGTATGTGGGGTGTGGGTCACTGGCGTCATGCCCCTGAAGGGTGCATCTTCCCTATGGCCTTTTCTCCTTCTCTTTCTCTCTGCTTCCCAGCTGTGATGAGCTGAGAAACTTTCTTCCTCCATGCATTTCTGCCATGATGCTCTGCCTTACCTTAGGCCCAGAGCATTGGCATTGACTGACTATGGGCTGCACCTCTGAAACCATGTGCCAAAATGAACTTTTCCTCCTCATCAGGTATTTTAGTCACAGTGATGTAAAGCTGACTAACACACACACACACACACACACACACACACGGAAAAAATGTATAAAATACATATATGTGTACCTATACATGTGTTTATATAAAATATGTTTCCTGTTATGAAAGTTTTGTGTATACATATATACACACACAAAACAACTTGAAAATTACAGAAAGATATGTAGAAGAAAATCAATCATTGTGACAACATTCAGAGTCCATTTCTGTTTATATTCTGATTTACTTTATTTCAACCTTTTATTATGTCTAATTCTTCTGGTTTATATATAGTGACCTAAGAAAGCTTGAACCTGCACATAATGCTTATTTTGCTTTTATTAGCTTATAGGAGGTTAAAATATTTCCAGATGTTATTATGATTGAATAATTTTATAATGTAGTCTAGGTAGCCATTCTCCATGAACATGTCAGTTCAGTCCCCACACCACATACTGTTTTCGTTTGGATATAAGGTGTCTCCACAAAGTTCCTGTGCTAATGCAGGAATATTCTGACATAGGAGACTTGTAATTATGGGTTTCCTCATTTCTCTTTGGAGTTCCTTCTCTATCAAGTTTGTGTTAAACTGAAAGGAGAACCATGGGCTCACCCAAGAAAGTTATTTAATAAGGCCGTATTTTGTGCCAGTCATATAGACTATCTCCAGTGTCTTGGCTTTTTCCTTTCTTGTCAGGTTTTATAGTTAGGCAGAGTCCATTCTTAGACAACTAAAGCCCTCTGGGCTGTAGCTAGGCTCCTTATTTCCATATTCTTCTTATTTCAATCCATTGTAAATAGTTACCCAAGTGAAATTCTTCCAGCGATGTCCTCACATTATTTTTATGAAGCTTACAGTGGCTTCAACGGCTTTAGCCTTTCAGCATGCTTTCTTAGCTGGCCCCTTCCACCACATTTTATTTTTTTACTCACTGGTACAATCTGTGCTTCAACCAGGAAAATCTGTGCACAACTTGCTCTGCCTCTACCTTTGTTCATTTATTAACTTTATTTGTAATTTTTTTTTCTTGTACTCTCTGGAAGTTCATGTCCCTTTTTTCCCTCAAAATGCCCCTTGAAATTTACATTTTCCCCAGAAACTTCTCTCTGACTTACTGTACATACTTCTAGCATGTTTTTTTTTTTTTCTTTCTGTTTTTGGTACTGGGATGGAACCAAGAAGCACTTTACCACTGAGCTATATCCCCAGCCTTTTTTATTTTGAGATAGGGTGTTGCAGAATTGCTTAGGTCCTCACTAAGTTGCTAAGGTTGGCCTTGAACTTGTGATCCTCTTGCCTCAGCCTCCTGAGTTGCTGGGATTACAGGCATGTGCCATCACGCCTGGCTTATGTTATCTTTTTATATTTCTTCAAAATGTCATTTTTTATCTATTTATTCAGTTAATGTTGGAGACTTTGTCTTGTTTTTCCACATTGCCATACATTGGTTTTGAAGCCTAAGTTAATTAAATTTAAACCAGTGCAGATGCTGGTGTTTTTCAGAGTGGGAAATTAAGACTTGGGTAGAAAGGTGTTTGTTGCTGCATGTGGCATGCCTGAACCTAATCTTAAGGATTTATAGAAATCAAAGTATAATACAATGTAAAGATGACAGAATGATGTCTTTAAAAAGGAAGAAAAACAAAAGAATAGCAAACAGAAATGCCAACCTCTCTGACTTTCATTGCAGGGCAGGTGTTTTGTGGGAAATCTTTACTTTCTTTGGACTCATTGGTATTATTATTTTTTTTTATTACCACCAGAGATTGAGACCCTATCTTTTGAGATAGGGTCTCGAAGTGTTGTGAAGGGCCTCATTAAGTTGCTGAGGTTGGCCTTGAACGTTTGATCCCCCTGCTTCAGTCTCCCAAATCAGTGAGATTACAGGAATGTGCCTTCACACCAAGCTGGACTCATTGGTATTTATTTTCTGTGAGATATAATTCATTACTATTCATTTTACTATTCAAATTATTTGTGAAATCCTTTAAAAAACTTAACTAATAGAGATACTGGGAACTGACATAGGAGACTTGTAATTATGGCTTTCCTCATTTCTCTTTGGAGTTCCTTCTCTATCAGGTTTGTCTTCAACTGAAAGAAGAACCATTGGCTCACCCAAGGCTGGTGGGAGAAGGAAGAGGGCAGAGCAGAGAGCAGAACTGCTGACTGCTGGCCCACGTGGCAATCAGACTTTTTTTTAAAGCCATTTTGTCCACATATACAGAGGTCATGTTCCAGTTTATGAATTTGAACACTAGATTATAAAAAAATAATTCACAAGTTCATTTTCTAAATGACCTAGTGTGGAAAAACCCTGAGAATTTGTGTCTTTGTGCAGGGAGGCAGACAGAAGACAAGATAGAGCCCCAAGGGCACATCCCTACCCCCTTCAACTAGGTTGCACCCCCCTGTAGTTTCTACCACCTCCAGTAGTCCATTCAGCTTTGACTGTGTTGATGATCAGAGCCTTCATAATACAATCACTTCCTAAAAGCCTCACCTCTGAACATTGCTGCATTGAGGACCAAGTCTTCAACACCTGAGCCTTTGGGAGACATTCCACATACAAACTTTTAACACTTGTTGTAGTAACAATACATCAAGGGCCTTGGCAGTTTCCCCCAAAACAAAACAAATCAGTGATAAAGGCTTAACCTTAGGAAGAAGTTCTGCTACAATCATAGAGAAATTAAGAGGAATTTAAAGAAGAAAAGGGGTGAGATGGGGAAGCACAGCTTCTAGGAAAAGATACAAATTGCAATTGGATGATGTGATGGGGCCAAATTGTGATGAAACAAGAATGAAAATTACTTGTGGAACAAGTAATTGAGGGACCAGAGGATTTTCCAGTTCCCATCTTGGGATGCTTTGCCAGCCTTTTGTCTCCTCCTCTCTTGATGTTGTGATTCTCCAGCCCTGGACTTGGCTCTGTCTCTGAGGACCTTTGCCGTTCAGCTTCCTGATGCCACTAACTCTCAGTGCCCCAGAAGGGAAGTGTGAAGACAGATACAGGGATTTAGTTGCACAGCCTAGGATCCTGGAGTTGAGCAAACAGTGATGCTATGGCCACCAACTTCCTCTGCCACCTGGCCTCCCTTTCTTTCTTCCTTACATGATACAGTAATGAGTCCCAGAGGAGGCTCCTGCATACTATGGGGCTGGCAGAGAAGAAGTTGTTTCAGAGCAAGCCTTGGAAATCCCCTACCATAAAAGGAATTATCTGTAACAGTTGCCATGATGGTTGTGAAACTATTGATGTCTTAGAGTTGCCTGTTTAATTTATGTTTTGTGGGACATTAGTTTTTTTCTTTTTCTTTTTTCTTTTTTTTTTTTTTTTTTTTTTATGATGCTGGGGATTGAACCTAGGGCCTTGGTGCATGCAAGGCACTCTACCAACTGAGCTATATCCCCAGCCTGGGCATTAACTTTAACATGACTGCTTAATGATCAAATCGGCCCTGGTACTCTCCTATAATGGCACTTTAAGCAATATCTTAAACTTACAGCAATATCTTCATATTTTTAGTTGAAACAATCCTCAGTTGTTAGTGATGACCAGGTTCCTCATTTTGCAACTATGAAAATACAAGCTTGGTGATGTCAAGTGATCCATCTATATGCCTTAGCATGTTAGTAGAGGAGTTAACTAGGAACAAAGTCTCCTGATTCATAGTCCACAGCAATCTTTTTTTTTTTTTTTTTTAAAGAAACAGTACACCATAAAACCTCATTTGTTTTTAATTCCTAGGATTAGTTTTGGTTCCAAGGAGCAAAGAACCTGAGCAGGCCTGGACTGTAGATGATTGGCCCAAAAAGCTTGGGAGAAGGAAGCCTGTGGCGTAGAGTTTTTAGTGATTGTATTAACTTTTGTAGCTTCTGCTTTTACTGGTAGTGGAGCTGAGCAAGGGGCCTGCATTACCCCTGGGCCTGGCTGGTGTCCCATTTTTGAGGCCTCAGAGTTATTTTTAGCCCTAGGGCCTTGGAAGCAGGTGTGGTCTGGGCTTGAAGGCCATGCCTGGAATGTGTTCAAGCCTTGTTGTGCATGTCTACTTAGAAGCTGACAATAGTGACCTAAGCCTTTTGCATATATTTTGTTGGAGGAATTTGTACTTTTCCAGTGAAAAGTTATAAGTTACACTGAATTGCATTTGTGATGCCTTAAGCAAATTTATTTTGGAAACTTTATCAACTGAAACATAACTTAAGAGTATTAAGAATACAGTAATTATGAAACAATTAACTATAAATTCTTTGGATATAGAAGAAAGCTTTGTATTGAGAGTCATACCTTAACTGGCCTGTTTAAAAATTCATGTTAATAGTCACAAGTGATTTAATTTTTGATGGGCTGGGAGTGTAGCTCAGTAGTAGAGCATATGTTTTGCATATGCAAAACCCTTGGTTTAATTCCTTGAACCACAAACATTTAAAAATAAAATTTAATTTTCACATTATCCCCCCCCCAAAAAAAAAACACCTTATTGCTATTTAAAAGAATTCTGTTTTTCTTTTTTTGTGTGTGGTGCTAGGCATTGTGTGCACCTTCTCTATCACTGAGATGTACCCCCAGCCCTAAATGAATTCTTTTTAAAAAAAATTTGTTCTGATTAATTATACCTGACAGTAGAATGCATTTTGACACATTGTACACAAATGGAGCACAGCTTCTCCTTCCTCTACTTATCCTGCCCTATTCCATACTTTTCTCAACAGTTCTAAGAAGAGGAATTACAGCAGGCCTGGTGCTGGTATCTGGTCTGTTTATACCATGCCCATTACTAATGCTTTTTAAGCTTCCCGAGGTTACGGAAAATAATATAAAAATTATTTGTAATCACCTAAGTAAAACTATACTATGTTTTTTGTGTGTGTGCATATAAAATATATATCTACATCCTATGTGTTTATACTTAGTGGGTATTTGAGGTTCTACTTTATGTAACTGTTCTATGCCCTGATTTACTTCTCTTTTATATATCATGACCATCCCTGGATGTCAAAAAGTGTGCTCTTAAGACGTTAACAGGCAACCATCATTTTTGAATGTTGCATGATAGTGTGTTGAAGGATTTACCATAATTTTTAATTAACTTAGTCCCCCTTCTTAACACATATTGGCCTTTTCCAATATATTTCATGTGTGTTTCACCTGAAAAGTGAAGAAGTTTCTTGTAAGTCATTTTGGAATTATCTTTGTAAACCATTTAGAAATTATCTGCAGGAGAGAATATAGTTCAGTATTATAGTTTTACTTATTTTGTGAGATTTGAAATACATAAAATTTTGGGATATTAACTATTATAAACTTGGACTCTTGTGGAGATGGGTGAGAGATTTGATATTTGTGATTTCTAATTGTATTCCATTGCTTTCTCCTAGAGCCTTTGGAAAAATTATAACCTCTCTCCTGCTAGACTGTGTTCCAATTATCCAGACATTTGCACTGATCTTAGTACTTTTAGTAATCTGTGCACAAAAGTACACACATCTTTCACATAGTAGATCTTTTTTTTCCCCTGGGAATGAAATGGGTAAAGGTGGTGCATATGGATGAAGATTATAAATTTACATTACTGTTACCACCTCTGGTATACAGTAATCTAACTTAAAAGTCCTTGTGTTAAGTATTTGATCCACCTTTTGACAAAGACACTAGGAAAGCATTTTTATTATTCTAATATGAAGAACGTTCAAACTACTTTCTTGTTATGTAGATTTTTTCAAACATACATCTTCCTTAAGATGTCATCGATATTTTACTATATTCCATACTATAAAATCAGGACTCTCATTATATAAACCTTTGTGGGGTTGGAAGAGTTGTACTTAATGTTCATAGTAATTTTTCTTGTTACAGTATTTCTTTTCATTATTTTAGCTAAGAAATACACTAATGCAGGAACCACAGCTTCTCCCTTTGAGGTGGTAAAGGAAGAAACTGCTGAACGTTTGTGTGTTTCTGTGTGTAAGGCCTTCTCTGAATATTGTAGTTAACCTCCTTAATACCCTTTCTTTATTTCCTGCTTCATTTTTTCTCTCCATAGCACTTAACCACAACCAATCACACAGAATGTTGTTTTGCTATTGTTGTTGTTGTTGTTTCTATGTATCACCTATAGTTTGGATTTTTTTTTATTGGTTCTTCAAACATTACAAAGCTCTTGACATATCATATTTCATGCATTAGATTCAAGTTGGTTATGAACTCCCAATTTTACCCCAAATACAGATTGCAGAATCACGTCGATTACAAATCCACATTTTTACATAATGCCCTATTAGTAACTGTTGTATTCTGCTACCTTTCCTATCCTCTGCTATCCCCCTCCCCTCCCCTCCCCTCCCATCTTCTCTCTCTACCCCATCTACTGTAATTCATTTCTCTCCTTGTTTATTTTCCCATTCCCCTCACAACCTCTTATATGTAATTTTGTATAACAATGAGGGTCTCCCTCCATTACCATGCAATTTCCCTTTTCTCTCCCTTTCCCTCCCACCTCATGTCTCTGTTTAATGTTAATCTTTTCTTCCTGCTCTTCCTCCCTGCTCTGTTCTTAGTTGCTCTCATTATATCAAAGAAGACATTTGGTATTTGTTTTTTAGGGATTGGCTAGCTTCACTAAGCATAATCTGCTCTAGTGCCATCCATTTCCCTGCAAATTCCATGATTTTGTCATTTTTTAGTGCTGCGTAATGCTCCATGGTGTATAAATGCCACATTTTTTTTATCCATTCATCTATTGAAGGGCATCTGGGTTGGTTCCACAGTCTAGCAATTGTGAATTGTGCTGCTATGAACATCGATGTGGCAGTATCCCTGTAGTACGCTCTTTTAAGGTCTTCAGGGAATAGTCCGAGAAGGGCAATAGCTGGGTCAAATGGTGGTTCCATTCCCAGCTTTCCCAGGAATCTCCAT